GTGCCTGGCGCAGTGCCTGTCATATATTTTTGCATGAGCAAAAATATAATAGATTTAGCATCAGCTTGGTCATGTTTCTTTAAGAGGCACCTATATAATTTCCTATTACCTATCATTGTGCTTCTGGTAAGTAATTTTGAAGATAACTACTTTTCTCTCCTGATGCCTGTGAAACACTAGATGTTTTGATTCAGTCTGAGACCATACTACAAGCACGCAACTAAGGTCATCACTTGAATCAGCCAAGATCTGGAATTGTGCATCTGACTTGACTTGGAATCAGTGACATCTCCCAGGCAGGTGATTGGAATGACTGGAATTTTCCAGAACAGATTGGTAGCCAATAGGCAAAAGTAACAGAGACTGTTGCAGTTTCTCTGATAAATAGCTGATCACAGACCAGTTCAGGAACTTTTCAGCATAATAGGCATTATTGCATCTATTATATAATAAACACAGCTCCTCCAGCTCCAGCCAAGGAATTGCCAGATGCTTCAGAAGGAGGTGCTGGTCCTCCCTCTTGGCCCTCTCGCTCATTGCCTTCTGGCCAGCACTGAATCTATGCAGGCAAAAACCCTCACAGAAGAAAGAGAAGTTGGAGGGAAACTGTTGCCTCAAAGCCAGGGAGTTGCTTCTCAGAATGCAAGCCAGCGACCCCTAGCCTCAGAGTCTGTTCACACGCTGATTCCTGGAGCCCATTCCAGACCTACTGAGTCAGAATCTCTAGGGGTGGTATCGTGGGAGCCAAATTTTTAGCAATATTGATTTTAATGATATCTAATGCACCCTGAAGTTTGAGGACATGTACTTTTCCTTACAGGTGATTTTATATAGAGGATTCAACTGATATGAAGGTCCTTCGTGCCCTTAACATTGTCCCCACCCTGTTGGGGCCCCCAGTGCTTTACTTACCAGTCCTCTCTGCCCTCAGGCAGGAGCAGGTGCCCTGGCTTTGGACTCAGGGGATCTGCCAAACATTTTCCTCTGTCCCTGAACTTCCTGTTCTTCCCAGAAACCTTGGCACAGGCAAAGGACAGTCAGGGAATGGCAGAGGCATATGCCCAGTTGGAATAACTTGGAAGCGGACCCCATGTGCAGACTCTGAGTCAGCCCTCTCTGCTGGGGAAAAGAGCAGGAAGTTCAGTGAGTCAGCGCTGCCAGCGACAGAGGGTGCCAGCCTGGGGCAGCCAGGAAGACAGGCCTCTGAAGCATCTCTCCTGGCTTAGAGGATAGTGGCTTGGAAGCTTTGCTCTGCTGCCTAACACACAAACCCTATATTCCTGTGGGGACAAGCTCTACCTCGACTCCTTTTCTGCCTTTTGAGAAAACACTTAGGAATTAATGAGAGCAACTGGGACCTTTTCACTGAGCTAATCAGTGATTGTGTCATCGGACTCTTGGAAAGGCTTTCACCTCATCACAGCTCCGCCGTCAGTTTTCTTCCTTCACCCACTTCCATCCAACCAACCAAAAAGTTTAAGAACAAAGCTTGTTATGTCCAAGCAGGTTGAATTCAAATCCCTTATATAGCAGCCTCCCACCAGACTGCTTCCTCAAACTTTTCTTTGTAATTTGGGAACCTCAAGCTGAAACCTCAAATCTACCCTTTCCTAATTGCTTCTGCTTTGCTATCCATAATGAGTTGGCGGTTGCCAAAGCGTTTTGTCCCAGGAGTGAGAAAAAGGGTTTAAAAAATAAGCATCCCAGAAAAGGCGCAGTACTTCTAAAACTTTGGGATATTAAAAAAACTAACACGAGAGCATGTTTCATTGCAGATTCCTAGGCATTGCATCCAAAGGTTTCTGTTAGGTTCTATAATAATTCAGTGGGCCTGAAGTAGGTGGGAAACAGGAATATACATTTTAAATAAGTAAACACAAGTTATTCAAGATGTAGAGGGCCTGTGGTTCTGTGGGTCATACCTAGAGACCTTAGTTTAAATGTGTATCCAGGAGTGAAGGACTTATTTTGAGATTCCCTTGGAATGGTAGAAATATTGGTGGTGGAGGAGATAGAAGTATTCCAGTATTCCACATGCCCCCAAAAGGGAAAACTCTAAATGCGAGTACGTGGCAGACATCTGTACAAATCTGAGAGGGAATGGGCCTGGGTATTCTGAAAAATATATCCAAAGGAAATGAAATCACATCATTTTCTTATTGGCCTCCCTTTATCTACTTGCAGCTCAGTCCTCTGAGCTCATGCCTGACCAGAAGCCCCAGAGGCCTCTCCATTGCCAGTCAACCTGGCTTCTTCCTGGTGTGCTTTTAATGTGAAGGTGACTCTAAGAAGATGAGATTTGCTTTGAGGATTGGACCTGGCATCTCCTTCCTGTCAGAATGCACTCTCTTCATTTCAAGGATGCGTCAGAACTAGAGAAATATCACCTCCGTTCATCCAAGTAAACTTTAGCTCATCGACTTGGAATGGGTCATACATTTCTTGTTTGTTTTTAGGTCTTTCTTAGAGGTGGTAATTCTTAATATATTTGATCCTGGAGACATTAAGATAATTAAGTTGTCTAGTAGTATTTTTTTAACTAGGTCATTCTGAAACAGTATTCTACTTTCATATTTGGAGGTAGGGTAGCAATTAATTTTTTTGAAGTTTCTACTGATTTTACATTATCATATATCTGTGCATTTGCCAGGCCTTCAGACCCTCCCCCTGAATCTTTAGCCAACTCCTGGCACCCATTACTTTCTTACGTCTCACTCTGTATCTCTAACAGTATCATCTATGCCCTTTCTTTCTTATTCCCACCTTGACATTCACAACCTCTTGATCAAAGTAGATCAAAAAGACCTGGGATATTATATTAATAACAAATCTTCTAAAGTGGCTAGAGTGCTATGTTATGCTGTTGTTTGAGATATAATTTCATTACAATGGCAAGAAATCATGCAGCACTTACTGTGTGCCAGAAATGCTCCAAGCCCTTTGTAAATACTAACTTGTTTAATACCTATAACAAGCCTATGGGTAACTGAGGTAGGTGCTATTGTAAGTTACTATAAGTCTATTTTATGGATGAGGAAACTGAGGAACAGAATGGTTAACTAACTCAGACAAGGTCATATAGCTAGTAAGTTGTGCAATCAGGTTTCAGACCCTTACTCTGTGTTCTTAATCATTGTGAAAGTTGGTAATAGAATTGGGTCATTCCTGTCATACCTAACTAAAACAGAGTCAGGAAGCCAGCAGGAAAAAGCAGTCGAGACACCATGTAATTCTTTGCAGGCCTGGCTGCTGAAACTGCTACAACCCGAAGCCAGTTTTATAGTTGCTGAAGTGATCTGCTGCAACTTGAAGACTAATTGTACACACCTCTATCACTCACCAATCAAAACTTACCAGCACCCCAGAAACTCATTAGTGCCAATGAACTTCTTCAAATAGCAATATGTAACATTTCTCTCTTTTTAGAAAACCTCCAACCTTCTCTTTGTATTTTGGACATAGTGAATACCATCTGGCCTGTGTGTATGCCTCAAACTGGAATTCTTTCTTTTCAAATAAAATGTGAAATATAGACATTCATCTCTACATTTTAATTTTGACTTCAATAGTCACTATCTATAGTACCCATTTAAGAAAGCAAAACAAAAACAAAAACAAAAGCCAACAAAAACTCCAAAACAAAAAATATTATCTGAAAATGTCTATTTTCCAGGACATTTCAGAAAAGGAGACTACATACTGGACTAGTATGAGACTGGACTGAATGTAAAGGCAGAATCACCTCATGGTTCTTATCCATATGTGGCAAGAATGATCTCATTTAATCCTCACCCTATTGAAGGCTGATTTAGTAGCTTCTTTGCTAAATATTTACATGCGAAAGAGAATCATCCTTTAACTTTCTGCATCTACTTTGAGACTCGGGAGACAAGAGGTCCACAATGAAACAGCTTTTGACTGTTACCTCTCAGTGTCTGCCTAGATGAAAACTGACATTGCTGGTTTCTACCAGAATCGATGAGAAAGTATTAACTTAGGAGTTTGGAGCCTAAATTTTAATTCTGGCTTTTCCACTGATCAGCTGTGTAATTTAGGGCAGGTTGTAACCTTTCTGAATCTATTTTCTACCTTTTTCATGTTTTCTTGAGGTCCAAACGAAATAGCTATAAAAGAGAGAAGCTGTAAAGTGCTGGAAAACTGTAAGTTAATATGACAGATTTTTTTTGTATTTTGTATTATTATTATTATTATTATTTTGGGGGGGACTAATTAGGACCTTGTGGTCTGGGCTGGAGTGCAATGGTTTCTCACTGCAACCTTCACCTCCTAGGTTCAAGCAATTCTCCTGCCTCAGCCTTGCGAGTAGCTGGAATTACAGGCATGCCTCCATGCCCAGCTAATTATTGTATTTTTAGTAGAGATGGGTTTTCACCATGTTGGCCAGACTGGTCTCGAACTCCAGACCTCAGGTGATCCACCTTCTTAGGCCTCCCAAAATACTGGGATTACAGGCGTGAGCCCCCGTGCCCAGCCAGATTGTTTAAATAAATATATTAATTATTATGTGTACCTTAAGGCAATGCGACTACCTGCCACTTTCCCTCCCTGACTTCTGAAGTAAACTTGAGGGCAGGGATCATGTCTTATTCATCTTTGTCTCCTAGCTGGAGTGCAGTGGCACAATCTTGGGTCACTGCAACCTCCGCCTCCGCCTCCTGGGTTCAAGCGATTCTCGGGCGTCAGCCACCCCGATAGCTGGGATTATAGGCACATGCCACCACACCTGGCTAATTTTTTCTAATTTTAGTAGATATGGGGTTTCGCCGTGTTGGCCAGGTTGGTGTCAAACTCCTGATCTCAGGTGGTCCACCCGCCTCGACCTTCCAGAGTGCTGGGATTACAGGTGTGAGCCACCTGTACGTGTCCGACCAATAAATGTTTCTTGAGTGAATAAACAAACATAAGGGATTTTCAAAGGAATTCTAGAGGTTCTATCTCAGCTGAGAAGCACCTGTGGAAGCAAAAGCCATTCGTAGTACCTGCTTCAACCACGTGGTCCATTGTGGGAAACCTTTTGTACACAGCAGTGCTCACCGAGCGGAAGATGAGCAGGGAGGTGAGATTGACATAGCGCATCAGTGTCCTTCTTAGCAGGCGCCCGTGCTCGTCGCTTCCGTGAACACTGCTGGAGATGAGGAACATCAGCCTGTCTGGCCAGGGCAGATTCACAAACTGGTTCCACCATCGGTTCACTACCAGAGTAACATAAAACCCTGTAGAATAATAGAAAATTATAAAGCAGTTTCTTACAGCAGACACGTTGGTGACACTGATGCTTTTAGCTGAATTTTAGCCTTTTTAGATGTTGGGGTTCAAAAATACGTTATTATCCATATCTTCTGATTTTGCGTTCTAGGAAAAAAATGTCATTTGTGCCTGGCAATGCCTAAGCACCCTGTTAAGTGTGTATTAGATCTCAAATATTGACTGCAAAATGGAGAGTTAGTGAAGAGAAAGCTTAAATGTCCAATAGCAGATTATATCCTCAAACTTGTTTGGTGTTAATTTCGCAAAAGCAGCCCTGAAGGCAAACCTTATGGATGATTCTGGTTCTATTGCAAGCAGCGGCTTTTCAGGCATGCCTCTCAGCTTGGAAGCACTCCCATGCAGAGTCATCGGTGTCATCCTAATGGAGACAGCTGTGTGGCTGCAATCTGCGTGTGACCTATACTTACCAAGCACAAAGGTTACTGGAATTTGTTCAGCATATCTGTCACAGTAAATTGATAATTTTTCAAAGTAACGTTTTTGGGCTCCTGTAAGTAACAATCTGGAGCAAAAATAAAATGCACAGCCCTTTATGATATTATACTTCTGCACCTGCTTTGCAAGTGACATCAAGTGCAAACAATTAAGCACAAATAATCTGTTTTATTTTTGAAGGAGCAATAATTTTTTTTTCTTAAGCCGACATGTCCCAAAAGCTTTTTAATTGCTTAATGTTTCAAGTGCTAACATCTTGTAAATGTGATTGGCCATTAAATAGTGGGATTAATTAATCATTATTTTATTTTAAAAACTTTATATTTTAAAAGTTTTATATAATTGGTTCATTGGACTTAGAGCAAGGTAAGTTATAAAATAGTTCATTTTTGAATTATTCATCAGGAATACCTTAAAAAGAGTATATTATTATGAATTAACATTATTAAGTAATTATTAAATAATAACCCTCAATTTGACACCTTGATCTTCCTCCTGAATGTGCTACTTAGCACATTCTTGATTATCATGTGTTATGCTTCAGGGGATATTATACCTCATTTTAAAGCCCAGAATTGTTTGAAGTCTGAAACAAATTTAACGGTGAAAAACGAAAACATTCATTATTAAATTTAGTCACTCTCTCAAAATTTGTATTATAGATCTAACCCAACCTGCCTAAAGCCCATTTTCTGGTATCATTAAACATAAGTGCATTTAATGAGAACATTATTGATTATAGAGAAGAGATTCAGAGTCTGAAGAAATGGCAAACTAATAATAATGACAAAAATATAGGAAGGAAAGCCAAACAGATGAATTCAAATAAATCAATGAGTGTAACTGTTTCAAAGGAAGAAGGAACCCAAGGAAAGATCCATTATAACAAGCACCAAAGGCTCATTTGGGTCCTTAGAACTTTCATAAAGGAAGCAAAGGGATAATGAGATAACAGTTATCAACCAATTAGATTGCAGAAAGAGAGCTGTTGGGAGCTGGTCCTGACAAAGAAGGTATGTGGGGTACAGGGTGAGCTTGCAGTTCCTGCCTCAGCTTTGGAAGAGGTGTTAGAATTATTGAAGTCAGGGAAAGTTGACAGGAGAGGTACCAGATTATTGTAGAGGTCTATCAGGTTAATGCTGATGACAAACTACGGCCAGAGTGGTTTCTGATGTTCAAATAGAAATGGTCAAAGAGGCTTTAAATGTGGAAAGCATGGACCTTTTCCAAGATCAGACAAAGCCAGATTTTCATCCCAGGTCTGACACAAATTTGGATTTTGGGAATATTTTTAAATGTCTCCGAGTCTCAGATGAGAAAACTGCAAAAAAATCTCATCTGTAAGTAGGAATAGAAAATCTATGGAATATTATAAAGATTAAATAACATAATGTGTGTTTGTGTGTGTGTGTTTGTGTGTGTGTGTGTGTGTGTGTGTGTGTTTATAAAACCACTTAAATTGCCTCATACTTAGTTAATAATGAAATGGTTGGTATTAATAGTTGGGCAAAGAAAACATCTTTGGCTAATAGACATAGAAATTTTAATAGCTAGAAAGTATTTCAAAAATTATTTTGTCAAATTCCTCCAAAAATAGAAATGTAATTAAATTAATGAATCTAGTTCCTCCATATAGTTTTTGTAAGAATAATTATTTACTTATAATAGAGCTAATAAAGACTAAGAGAATAAAACTACATCTATATTTTTCTACAGATATGTTTGACTTCCTTGAAAAACTCATCCTATACCCTTGGTATACCTTTGATTAAGATATAAAGATCTCTTTTAATAAGGTATTTACAATTGAACTTTAAAAAATTAAGGATGATTTGAACTGATAATATTTTTTATAAATGTAAGCACTCTTTGCTTTAGAAGAAATATGTGCATAAAATTTTGGGGGGTATAAGTATGATATTGGAGCAAAAGTTGAGGCCCAAAGGAGCATTTCTAGCTACACTGCAACTGTGCTAAGGGCTATTCTATTCTATTTTTAGCAGCAATAGCTGTAATACATTTGCATGAGTAAAAATGAACTAATGAGATAATTATCATGAAACACCATTGTATGTTCCATCATTTCATATTCTGAAGGCTTAGGTGATACATACCTAAATTGCCAAAATAATATATGATATGTCTGAAAAATTATGAGAGGTTTTTAATAAGACTTTCCCTCTAAAAATATTCTGTCAAAATATATACCAATGTGTACACTTGCTCAGAAGGGTTGTTTTGATGCACAGAAAAATAGCTCTACCTATTTTACTTTTAATAATTATCAGTCAACTAATATCCTTTTTGACCAAAGGAGATCCTATTGCTGCAAGGAGGAATGTGAGAGCAATACAACACAAATTTTTATCTATACGCAGAAGAAAAAGAACAAACTTACATACGTAGGAAAAGGAAATACAGTCTCAAAAACCTTTAGTTTTCCTGTTTTAAGTTTTAGCTTCCTCCAGAGAATAAATTTATGCATTAAATTTTAATTTAAAAAGCTTCAAAGGCTCATAAAGCTCTCCTTTTATCATACCCATAGAATTTTATTAACACTGTAATTTTTCATCATAAAACAATTTCTTGAACTTGATATTGCTCACATTTCCTGTCAATTTGACAGGCATATGTTGTGATGTTATAAAGAATAAGCACCTCCTTTTATGAACATAACATGCCTTCAACTCAGAAGATATAAAGAAAATAAATTAGTCTACAGGACTTTTCTTTAGTTGAGGTATTGTTAAGGGTGGCAGGCATCATCCTGGGTAAGATATTTTCATTCTAGGCAAAAGGAAGGAAAGCTTTCACCTGAAATACACCAGTCATGTACGTGTTCATTATATAAGTAGTGGCTACAAGTGGTCGAATCACAAACTATGAATGACAAGTGGATAGAAGCACCAATAATTATCTGCCTGTGGACTTTGCCCATTCAAAAATCTTTATATAGTAAGGATTTAAGGAGAATCCTTCCATTTTATGCCTATTGCAAGAGTCTTGAAGCACAGCTGGGGCTGGCATGAAGGCTACCTGAATCTTACAGTGAGAGTCTATTTTACATCCTAACAATGGTTAGCTGTGGATTAAAATCTGTCCTGAAGGGAAGAAGAGAAAAGAGAGGCTCATGCAAAAAAGGAGTTACATAATGCAGAGTCAGTGGCAATAAAAGGGTTCAGATTTTTGAGACTGTATTTTTATACAATATTTGATTGCCATTTAAGGAGACATGCAAAGAAATGTACCTGTACACCAAACTTATTGCTGTATAAAGCACAGCAAAAACAATAAATTCCCTGTACAGTAGTTTGTAGATGCTGCCTCTCCACTTGAAGAGTAACCTATGAAATCCAAAAAAAGTTGCATTTGCTACTTTACTGGAGTAAGTGACAGTCATCTTGGATATTTTTTTCTAGAAGAGCAAGAAGACAAAACACAAGTAAAAAGCAATGTTTAAAATAGGGCATAAATCTGTATGTCTGTATATCAAGGAAACTCAAGCCAGCAACTAGTCAGCCATATTTTTTTTTGTCTTTCTTAGTTTCTGTAATTCGAAACTTTCAGATAACCGTTATCTCAGTGCTAGATCATTTAGCAGAAAGCAGGAAGAAAGGAGTTTCTGGAAAGAGTAATATTAGACATCTTAAACTTGCCTTAACTGTTAAATATTATTTTTAGATTATATAGCCATTGGTCAATATATATTTGAATGAACAAATGAGACAAACAAGGCCCTCATGGGAATTTAATTGATGGGGCACTTTTGGTGAGTTTGGTTGCATGTAGGTGTCTCGCTACTGGAGGTCCGATTGTTAGCACTCATTGCATTTCAAAGGGTAGCCAAAAAGTTGGGTCATAGTCATAAATAAGAATAGTGCACTTTCCCCATGAAAAGTTATACAGAAATGCTTAGGGATAGTTCATATTCTATTTGGAGCTGAACAAAATAAGGTCATTATTTATGACTCTTTCTATTTGAGTCCATTTCATGAACGTGGTTAGGATGAGCACTGGGCCTCAAAGCCTTTTTCAGTGAGTTCTTTGGAATTCCACCAGGGTTTGAAACAGACAGCACAAAGCTAATCTTTGAAAATCCTGCTCAATTTCTGACTAAGTTAGAACATATGCAAATAAAATGAGATTTATTTAAAATCTTACTTTTCTCAAAAGGATCTACATGGAGAGTCTTATAGAGTTACTTAGACTGAAATTATGAAGATTTTAGGTAGAATTGCACTAAATACAAAAAATAAATTCTATAGCAGATTTCTTTTGGGAAGTAACCTACACCACATATTTTATCACAAACAAGAAAATTTTCTGTCTTTACTCATTGCTGGAAAAACAATTCAACTCTGATTTGCCCATTTTCCCTAAGGAAATGGAACTCTGGAGCTGCATCTACAGCATTTTCTAAAATCACAAACTTAGCTTTCAACATTACTGATTTTAATAAAGAAGCCAGGGCCTTTTGGCATAAGTAAGTGGCATTACGAAAGGATGGGACTCATGCCACAAAACCGGTTTTATTTTTCCATCTTTACCTTGTCTATTTGTCTAGTGTGAATACAGCCAAAATTGGGAGAGGAGCATAATAAATGAAGCCCATTTCATAGTTTGTTCTCATGGACTCCCAGTAGTTTTAAATAACAGTCCTTGAATAACTTTCTCTTCTTTCATTTAGTAGTTCACTCTTGTTTTTAAGCTCTGCCAGGAAAATGAAAATCACAGCAAGTAGAGGTCAGAATTAAAATGCATAGGTTTACTCTGGGCACTAACCTATTTATTTGGTTTGGAGTCTCCACCAGGAAAGATAATCTTCAAATTTCGGGCTCCCCCTGAAGAGGCGCCTTCAGGCCGGTGCTGCACTCCCGGTGTTACCCTTTGCCCATGCACAGTCAGATTTTCTTTCTGTTCTCTGGCCACTAAGAGGACCCAGAGTGTGACAAGTACAGGGGTTAAGTGTTTTTCCACTTGTGGAGCCCTGTTTATGCCAATTTACCCACTGATGACAGTTATAGCCAGGAACAAACAGAAGCAACAGCTGCTGATGCTGCTTTTTTCTAAGCTATAATTATAACTCCACCTGCCACCCCCAGTACCTCTTTGAATGAGAAGTTGGCAGTGACACGAAGGATGTTGGGCTGTTTGTCTGTTATATTCATTTTGACTCCACCCTGGGATCAAGGAAGAAAGGTTCATTTGACCCTAAAGAGTTCAAAAAAGAGTCCCCATTAGCCAAAAAAGAAACCAAAACACACACACACACACACACACACAAACAAAAAAACAGACTTTCTGTGCTTGAAATGAAGATTGAATTCTTAAAGCTGGGGTGGGATGCGGTGGCTCACACCTGTAATGCCAGCACTTTGGGAAGCTGAGGCAGGCGGATCATCTGAAGTCAGGAGTTCAAGACCAGCCTGGCCAATGTGGTGAAACACCATCTCTACTAAAAATACAAAAATTAGCTGGGCCTGGTGGTGGGCTCCTGTAATCCCAGCTACTCAGGAGGTTGAGGCTGGAGAATCACTGGAACCCAGGAGGCAGGGGCTGCAGTGAGCTGAGATCACCCTACTGCACTCTAGCCTGGGCACCAGAGCGAGACTCTGGCTCATTAAAAAAAAAAAAGTTATGAAGCCATAAACTGGGGCAGACAAGAATATAAACAGGATTTTTGCCCACTTGAGAGGTATTGAAAATGTTCTTCAATTCAAAGCACCAATTATGCGTTAGTGTGTGTATGTTAGAAGAGCACATAGAGAATCACGATATGTTGATGGCTTAGAATAGTGGGAAATAATAACACATGGATTCATCATATCTATACGTATAGATCTATATGTATATATACACATATATTTTTTTTAGATGGAGTCTTGCTCTGTCACCCAGGCTGGAGTGCCGTGGCACAATCTCAGCTCACTGCAACCTCGCTTCCTGGGTTGAAGCGATTTTCCTGCCTCAGCCTCCCAAGTAGATGGGATTACAAGTGCACATCACACACTGGCTAATTTTTTATATTTTTGGTAGAAATGGGGTTTTACCATGTTTGCCAGGCTGGTCTCGAACTCCTGACCTCAAGTGATCCGCCTGCCTTGGCCTTCCAAACTGCTGGGATTACAGGCGTGAGCCACTGCACCCAGCCAGATTCATCACATTAGTTATCTTTGATGGTTAGTTAGGAAATTTTAAAAAATTATTCAGTGTTTCCTCTTAGTTTGATTATGCCTACATACTTTCTTTCTTAAAAGAGAGAATTCACCAGCATTCTTTAAGTAATAAAATAAATAATTTCTTGGGACTTTTCAAACTTTCTAAAGTAACTTGTGCACCCCTGAACATTAACTTAAAGAAAATGTATTTTTGTGGAGAAAGATATAGGAAAAAATGCTTATTCTAGAATTGAGGTTACATAAAATTAACCTTTTTCTAAAGTATTCCATTTTATATGCATTTGGCTTGATTCTTTATCAAATTCTAGGTACCTCAGAGCAAAGCTAGGGTTGTAGGTATCTTCTTAATTTCTTGCCCCACCCCTGCTCATAGTTCCAATATGGAGACCTGTGAATAATGAATATTCAGTATATATTTGCTGTTGATTATCCCTTACCTTCACTATTACAATTCTGTTGTTATTTAAGGGAATTTGTGAACCTTTAAAAAGCATACAATGTTGCATATCTTTTGTGTTGCCATGAAAAGTGGTCTGATAGATCCAATGTTATATTTATAAATGTTTGCAAGACAAATCAATGTTACCAAATTGGAGCAAATCTAAACCCAAATGCTGATGAAATAGAAACATTGGAGGTATTTTGTAAAATCCTCACTCTTGCATCTCCTGTTGGATGTGTGATAGCCCTGACAGCTGGTATAATTCCCAGCAGCCATGACTGCATAGCTAGGGGATCTGCCTCTGTGGGGCACTGTAGGTTGGCTTAATTTTTAAACAGGGATAATTATGTTCCTCTCTCCCATTGGGTTGTTTTGAGCAACGACTAATTAATAGTTGGAGATAGCATTCTAAATGCAAATTAGTCAATAATGATCAGATTGAATGAACAAACTCCCATTGTCGAGCTCTGAATCTGGTGGTTATTTCTAACAGGTACTAAAAGGCCTTGTAGTAATAGCCTTGCTTAGAGGAGAAAAGCCACTAAAGCTTATTTCAAAATATCCAACAAACACCAGATTGCAAAATTTACAGTTTATATCACTTTTTAAAGAGAATTTTTAAGTTTATTCATAGAAATATTTTTTCCAGGTTCTAAAAATAAAATATTATTAAAAATAAAAAGAAAAACCACATATAAAGAAGAAAGTGTCACTCTAACCTGCCGCACTAGAGGGGTGGTATCATTTGGGATAAAGTTAATCTTGCTAGACTTTTGTGGAAAATATTTTAACCCTATAATTAACAGCAAATAATATGATAGACCCTTAGGCAGTTTCAGGGCTCTATGAAATAACTATACCAGCCATATTTTCCCATGACAGTAAACATCAAGTTATGTGATTTTGACAACTCTGATTTTCAGCAGCCCAAAGAAACATATTTGTCTTTGCTAAAGCTCCAATGACAGGGCAATTCATAGAGAAGAACAAGTGATTATTTCCGCTTAGAATTCACCCATGGATGTCAAAATAAATCTCTTTGTTCCTTAAGGAAACAGGATATAGTAAAAACAACAAAAAGTTTATGTAGCCAATACCACCTCCTACATGAGAAGCAGCTATTTAAAAAGCCCTGCATTTGTTTTAAATGGATTTGTTCCTCCATTGACATGAGAAACATCTTGTAAATTTCTTCTGAGTGATTAGTTGAACGTAGTCATGTGTAGACAACACGTGTATTCAAATATTAACCAAAAACCAGACATTGCATTTTGGAGGATTTGATTCTGAACCTAAGACTTTGCGACATTATTAAGTGGGGAATAATGAATCAATAAATGCTTTTGATGGAAAAAGGGTTTGAAAAAAATCTATGCTGTAGAAAGGTGGGTCTATGGGAAGGGTGTGTGATGAACTGGAGTAGGTAGGGACTATAGAAGGGGAATCAATTTGAAGGTTATTTTGGTTGTTCTGGAATAAACTGGGATGGTGGGTGGCTGGAATGCAGAGGAAGGATGATGGAAGAGAGCCCAAGGGATAGCTACTACTGCAGGGAGGAGAAGAAGAATAGGGGGAGGTGAGAGAAGGAGGAGGAGGAGGAGGAGGAGGAGGAGGAGGAGGAGGAGGAGGAGGAGGAGGAGGAGGAGGGGGAGGAAAGAGAAGTCTCATATGACTCTTCCTATGTCCTTTGAGCCTGTTTGCTCATGAAGCATTGTGGAACATGATTCTCAAATTTGTTCAGGTATGCTGTTCATGACGTGCCACAAACTTTTGATATATTTTCTTTTATCCTGCAAATAGAAACATTCTACCAGCAAAAATCGATGCAAAGTCAGGTTGCAAGTGGGAGCTCATGTGCCCATAAGAAATAAAGTTGTTGAATTAAGTACGATGAGCCTGTGGTCAGTTTTCCTGTTACTACTCCTTTCTGGAACTTACATTGCTATGTGCCGGATCTCTCTAGAAAAAAGATAGTAAACAGTGCTAAAAGTTCAAGGAAAATTCGGAGTAAAACATAGAAAACAGTTCAATTTTTTTCACAGCAGAATGCACTGGTTTGTTTAGTTTCAGAACCAATTATAGTGATCGTTTTTTCCTACAGGTAAATTTTTACTGGCCAAGTTGGATGGTGAGCTTCTTGAGAGCTCATCCTACTCTTTCTTTTTTTTTTTTTTTTTTTTTTTTTTTTTTTGTGTGTGTGTGTGTATGTTTTGTTTTCTATTTACTGGCTGCAACAATGGATCGAACAGCTGCATAACAAGCACTGTTTGGGGTAAATCATATGGCATTCCAGGTGTGCAGAGGTTTCTGTACATGTCATTGGACATAGAACTCTGCCAAAAATCAAACCAAAGAGGGTGGAAAACCTCTTCAATTAACTTATTATCTTTGAGTTCAGAGGAGAGATAGTGAACTCCTCAGACCAGAAAGACTGAGTTTTATTACAGCTGAAGCTCTAAGCTCCTAAGAGACTGGATATTTGAGGAGTCATCATTACTTTCCTAGCATAAAGTAATTGCGAACTCAACAAAACAGAAATGCATTAGTTCAAATTTTGAAGGTCATCTGTGTCTAATGGAAGGTATGGAAACTTTGTTCTATTTTAGAGATGAAAGCATAGAGTCTAGAGAATTATGGTGCTGAATGTGTATCCTGTACTCTATAATCGATGACATTTTTTTAATGAATGATATTGTTCATCTCAAATACATTCCCGATTGCTAAAGAAAAAAAAATTCAACATAGAATCAATTAAAAATCAGTTTAATATTACAAGAAAAGGCACACAAATCCAAGAATATTATTTATTCCAAACAGCTGTGAAATTCTATTACTTTACACTGTGACTGTAGAAGGTAGATATTATATTACTGTGTGGGTAAAGGAAAGATATAGGTCAATAGAAAAATGCTGTGCACAAATATGTGGGTAATTTTAAAACATCTTTTCTCATGTAGTAAAATGGATGTGGAAATGAAAAGCCCATACTGGTTCTGGTTTTCTAATGTGGTATATTGAGCATTCTTCAGACATCACTTCAGGCTCTTAACATATAACAGCTCCTTAATAGTGGTCACTGCTGGGAAGAGTAGTAGGTTTGGGAAGAAGAAAACTTCAAGTTTTACTTCATATAATTTATATTTTTAAAAATAACATCTGTATTTTAATATTTAATCACATGCAATAAAAATCAGATTTAATGCCACTTCCAAATTCACACCTCTGGCTCAGATCTTCCACCCAACTCCAGACTTGCCTTGATATTCCCATACACATGTCAAACCCAACATGCCCCAAATGGAACTCCTGGTTTTTTCCCACAAACATGCTCCATCTGTAACCTTTCCCATCTC